GCCCGGAGCTGTGCCCCGGCAGCCGCCACCCCTCTGCTCGCCGCTGCCGGGCAAAGGACAGCTGGCCTTTTCCTCATGCTGTGCGAGGGCTAGTTTTATTTTTCTCCCCCAGTACAGTTTCTTTCCACAAAGACTTCTCGGTATAATTTTATTTGAGCGGTGCTACTAGATTTTTGCTAGCTAGTTCTTGATACTGGGGAATGATTGTAAAGTAGCAGGTCTGCAGCTTTAACTAACACAAATTTTTTTTGGCATGCAGCATTAAATATTAAAACCACACTGTGAAATGAAGATTAAACGCAATAGGATGAGGTGGTCTCTTGGCTTTATAGCTTTTTATGCATACTACATCATTTCCTGAAAGAATCGGTGTCTAAGTAATTCAGCTTTAGGTATATTAGAGGTCTCCACATGGCAACGCTTCTGGGACTTGAACAAAAACTCTATAATGAAGCTGACTACCTTCAAGTGCCTTTATTGTAATCAAAGGGGAGGGTGGAAGATGGGGGGAGAGACCCCAACCCAGAGAAGCTCACCAGACTTATTCCACAGATCCCGTGGGGATTTCTTACCAAATATTTTTTCCTGTTTATGCCATCAAACAGGTCAGGTACCTCTTTACATCCTTTTTGGCTATCTTGCTTTCAAATGTCAGCCAGAATCAATGAACTAAGGAGTTAGTTTGGGGCTGGGAATCAGTGAAAAATTAACTTCAAGAATTTTCTAGTGCTCCTTCTGCAAATCAATATGCCAAAGTTTCCGTGATCTTTCCTAGGAAGGGTTTTTGCTGACATTTTGATGAGCAATGGCACTGCACTGAGTCATCGGCATTAATGAAACGAAGCCATGTGAGTATTTCATCAGGGACCCACCTAAAGATCTGTCCCAATCTTGGAGATGCAAGCAAAAGCTGCGTGAATCTGTCATGCATTTCTCATCCTTTTTCGTGATCTTCATCAGCTCTCAGCACTTCTGCAAAATCGAATAATCTGATCGTAGCTGCCTGGGCAGATTTGGTTCAGGAGGGGAAAGCGGACCCAGGGTTTTGCTTCACTTAATGGGTCTGTGGTCTGGTTTTCTGCATGGGCAGGGGAAGGATTTCCATCTTGGTGTGCACTCTGATTTTGTTTCTGCTGTGAAACCCTGCAGTTGTACCGTCTGCTGTGTCCCTGCAAGCCCAGTGGGTGGGTGCCCTGCCACCCAGCGGTATCGTGGTGATGGCTTCACCCTTCCTGAGCACAAGTGGAGAGGAAGGCAGAGGTGTTGGCCAGCAATCTCCAGCTGGCAGGTGGCCCCGAGGGAGCTCTTGCAGCTGGCACGGGCTAGCGCTGCCAGCACCGATGTAAAGTGGGGCATGCTGGCTCCCCACGGGCTTCCTATATCAGCTCTGGCAGAGCAGCTGCCTCAATACATTATTTCGGGCTCTGGGATGGATTGGATACTCATTTTGTTCCTCTGGGCAGGTTAATATGACATATGCTTCTTCCGAACATTTTTATGATAGCCTAATGCTTCCTCTTTGTCTGTGCATGTCAGCTTTCATCATTAACCAAGCACTTGCTTAATGGTCATTAATCTATCTGTAAATCTCCTTGGAGAGACAGGAGCTTTGGAATGACAGGGCAAAGGCAAAACAACCTGACTTTGTATTTCCACACCACTGACATAGTGCTCGAGAGGCAGCCCGAAGCTGGCATCTCTAATAGCAAAAGATGTTCAGAAGTTCATCTGTTCCGTGCTTTATCACATCAACTGGGTGTAACTCACAGGAGATGTGCTGTGGCAGCATCACTAAAAGGACAAAATCAAATGTTTGCCCTTGTGCGTGTCATGATTTCTCATGGGCTGGAGGACCAGAGGAGCCTCATCAAGAAGAGGCAATGAAGCGGGTCATCCTCTCTGCTTACATGTAAGTGGTGACTGTGAGCAGCTCATGCCATAAGAGCAGTATCTCCAACCCCTGTGGGACTGGGAGAGTGTTCTTTTAGTGGTTAATGCCTTTTTTAGTAGAAGGGACTTTGCTGCCAGTCTCCTGCACCTGCGTGCAGGTGTGATGTGTGCAATGTACATACATCTTTATCCTCCGTACTCAGATGGAGGATGCAGGCAGGTTAGACTGCAGCGGCGTCAGCACTGTGCGGTAACAGTGTGGTATTTATTTGCATACTAGGTTAGTAAATAAAGTAACCTAAAGCCTGGCTCAGTCAGCACTGAACACAAAAGATGGGGGAGAGGGTTGGCTCTGTATAGCACCATCTCCCCCATACACCACCTGGTATTCTGGGGAAATGATGGGGTAGGGATGTAGTGCTATTTTAGCGGAATCCTTTCTGTGCTATCCTTGTGTGGGTTCCCTTCTCTGATCGTAGTTGTATACGCAGAGAAGAGACGGGGGCTGGAGAAGCACATTCCTACATATGTGTTTGGAGGAGCAAAAATAGAGGACGGTGGAAATATCAAGAGAGTTGTTATTGTACTGTGTTCAGTTATTACACACAGAGTCAGTGCTCAAGGGGATGTCAGCTTCCTCTGCAGATACAGAAAAGAAGAAAGGTTTTGCTGCTTTCAATAGCACAAGGCTATTTGCTCCTGTCTGCTTTGCAGGAAACTTCCTTGGGGCAGTGTTAGTTTTCCTGACGCTGCAAGGTAAACTGACCCCCTTTGTCTCGATAATCTGCTTTATGTTCATCTGTTACAGAAGATCTCTCACTGTCCCAACCAAGCAGTACTGCAGGGAGGGTGATACTATCCTGACTTGTGTAAGAAATTCAGAACTGCTCCCCAAGCTGTACATTTGTGTACTGTGATTATAGACCATGCGTTAAGTCTCTGAAGCCATGATACAATAAGCTTTGCTTCTACGTACTCATGTGTGGCTGGCAGACTTGCTTAACTTCACTTCTGCAAATCTCAAGGTGGATAAGAATTGGCATGGTTTATTAATAATGCACAGCAGCCAAGCTCATTAACCAACTGGAGACATATCACAGCAGTGATGGCAAGATAAAGCAGCATGGAGGTTTCATTTGCAACAGCTTCTTTCCAAAAGCCAATACCTTGGACCAGGTACAGTAGAACTAGTGCAAGGAGGTGTTAACTACCCCACATCTCCTCAGGACAGAGAGAGAGAGATGGGTTGTGCTGCTTCCTTCTGGGGTAGTGTTTTCCACTGGGATCTGATTCTTTTGCTCATTTCTTGGGGTGATAATGGACCACTCAGTGAATGGAAATTTGCCTGTCCCTTCTGGCTCTGTCCTTCCCTTCAGGAGCCACCTCCTATCCAAGCAAGACAGGATTTCTCCAGGGACAGTAGTTGGTTTAAAGCCTTGAAGAATGGCCTCCTATTAGGGAGGTGGTGGTGGGGCACCCAGAGCCCCTTGCAGAGGCCAGAAGGTTCTTGGGCTGCAAACACGCCTTGCTTGTTTCCTGTTTTTTTTTTTACCACCAAACAGGTAGAACTACATGAAGACCTGACTTGGCAGTAAAAGCTCTGGTCTTGGAATTTAAACGTTGCTTTCTATTTTTTAGTGTATATTCTTTTTGTGCTAGAAATGTCAACATGCCTTTTCTCTCATGCTAGGCTGCAAACTTTACATTGCTTTTCCATCCTGAATAAGACAAGATGTAATGCAAAATGTGTCTGGTTTACTGACCTGCCAACCCAAAACTCAAGCAGCCTCAGACCAATTTGACTGAGGACTCCTGTCAGTGGTGCTTGTTGCTAGGATTAATGAGTCTGTAATAATTTGTTTTTATTCTAGGTGTCAGTGCAGTTCCAGTGGAAAAAGACCATATTGAAGAAATGGTGAGTAGCTGTATGTCAAAGTGAATTTCAGAAAACATCGGTCACATGCTCTCCATGTTTTGTCTTTAAACTGTCAGGGTAATGCTTTTTTTTCCCTAAGGGTAAACTCTTAAGAGATCATTGGTGATGTGGAACTCAGAGTCCCTGTAGCTGTCAGAAGATGCCTGCATGCACTTCAGTGCATTTGATGAAAATGGAAGCTGGCTTCTTGTGTCACTGTGGTACTTTTGAAACTCTATGTTGTACAGCTGACTGAAAAATGATATGAAATACTATTTGATAGTACATGTTACTGGACTGTAAAAAGTGAGATGGCAACTTTGGAGAAAGTTGAAATATCTACAGTTGCCAATTATGTAATGAACTTTCTAATGCAGTCCTCCCATCTCCTGCTTTGGAAAGAGATTCTTAACCTGTTTGATTAAATAAATGCCATTAGCTGCTCTCAGTACCTGTAACGTGACATCAGGCCCCATAACCTGATGTCAGACCCTCTCCAGTGGTTGGTAGTGTGATCATGTAGATTAGTAAACTCTTGGTAATAACTGAAAACAGTTAAAAGACAAAATAGCTATATAAATGTTTTATTGTCTCCTCCCATCCAGCCACCCAGATTGGCAGCCTGAGACTCTCGTACCCCTGACGATCTGAGGGCTCACTCACAACCAACAACTTCAACACTTGAAAATCATTTTGCTTGAATTTGTATAGAAGAGCTAATTTGGTAGCGCTCAGGATTAGAGGAGATTGTGTGACTTTCCTAAATCAATTTCCTCTGCTTCCAGAAGACTATCCAGTTGAATGTTAAGCGCTAAAAGAAGCAGGGCTTACAGCACACACACATGGAAAAAATGGGGAGCATGTAATTTACAGAGGCTGTAAAGGCTTTTTTGGTTTGCTGGCAATCCAGGCAATACTTCCGGTAACACCTTTGCAGCATCCTCATTTGGACAGATCCTACAGGATGATCATCATCTTTTGAACATGTGTTGTGTTGGTTATTTTTTTTGTAGGGTGCTGTTACCACATGTTGTTTGACTCTCCTTTGTACTGAATATGCTATTTAATATTTAAAAACATACAAAAGGAGCCTGTTACCTATGCAAACAAAAGGAGAGATAAAAAGAACTAATGACTATCCTCTTCTTACTGGTATGGGAGTGAGGAGCAAAGCACTTGTTGCCCAAATGCACAGGAAGTTGCAGTAGAGCTGAGGATTGCTCAAAACTCATAAATATTAGCCTGAATTCTAATCCTAAACTAGCTGTCCTCACTAACTGGGTCAGAAGTAGGATTTCCATTTTTGCCATGAGAATTTCTTCTCCTATTTTGTTTCTTCTAGGTAACACAGTGCATAGTGGAAGTTCTGTCCAACGCTCTATCTAAGCCAAATGCACCACCAATTAATCCTGAATGCAAAGAAATCCTGAAGAAGAGTAAGTACAACATTATCTGAACTTGTGAAAGGAATTTGGTAGATGGATCCTCTCTTGTGTTGGAGCTGGTGAACTGTTACTTCAGCTCGTGTGAAACTGGTGCCTCCAAATTCTGATTTCCTTCCGTTTAGTCTGTCTTGCTCAAAGAGCAAACAGCCTGACCTGATAACTGTCAGGGATTCTTGGCTAACACGTGTGGCTCTCTACTTAAGCCACCTGAAGAGTCTGAGGGAACTAGACAAGCTCTTTAGGTAGCCTGAGGGGTCAACAAATGTGACCAAGTTTGGGTCACATGCTAAACGCATCCCAGAGGGTAGGAACTGGCTTCAAATAACCAGCACTTAAATCAGCAAGGCTCCTGCGCCTGGTGGCATCTGAATCCATGCCCAGCTCAGGAGAGGGGAGTCTTTTGCTCAGCCCAGAAACGATTAAGTTTGTGGTACTGTTTCCGGAGGTGTGGAGTCGTGTGCTGAAAGCTCCCTGTTGGAGTGCTCATTTCAGATGAGCTCATTCCTACAGCATGGTGCTTAGCTGCCTCGATGTCAAGGTGTAAGCCTGTTTGCACGCTTCATTACTGTCTGTAGTGAAGTGTGGTTAAGTTTGACACTGTGCCAAACTGCAGAACGCACATCTTTCTTTTCTGCCCAGTTATATTTATTTGATTACAGAACAATAAAAAGGCTCTTGAACTTATCTGCTGGCAAGAAGCAATAATGAAACCCATCTGTCTCCTGCTTGTTCATAGAGGGAATAATGCATGGACCTAATACAGTCATCAGAAGAGGGTGGTTTTGGGGCTTTGGGAATACATGTATTTGTATCTAACTCAGCCCCAAATTTCTATGAGATGCTGAATGCCATCAGGCATCAAGCTTTGCTTACGACATTGTTAGTTTCAGAAAAAAAACTGTACGTTTGCCATGTTTTGGAAAATGAAAAAACACTGGAAAGGGAGGGTAAGGACCATATTCTTGCCATTAGACAGATCTCCTCCAAGAATATCAGATAATGAGAAGCTTTTCAGAAATAATGAGCTGTTTTTAAATCTGTGCAGCTATTGTCTGAAAACTTTTAGGATTTGTGATCTATTTCTGATGTTACTCAGACTCAAGTGAAGCAGAAACATCTTCATAGAAATATACTATTACCATTGTGGTCAGAGTCAGATTTTCATTTAGCATTTTGGAAATAGTGGAAGGAGCATGATTTGATTAAACATAACTATTGCAAAGTAACAGATTTCTTTCTTTCTTTTTTTTTTGAGTCAATTTAGAACTTCTAAAATTTGCTAAAAGCCCCGGATATTTTCGAGTAGCTTGAAAAGATGGTTGTCTTTTTTGTGAATAAGCATATGTGATGGGTAAGATCTGACATTCAAAGAACCAAACACAACTCCAGATCCCATTGATTTTTAATGGGAATGAGAGTTAATTTAATTCAATACTAAAAATGTGATCACAAAGAAAGAAAAAAGCCAAAGTGGAAAAATTTTATTAATTAAATGAAAATTAATTAATGCTTTTCCAGGCAAACATATAAAATATTAGAAAATCGCTAATTTAAAAAGCAGAACCAAAAAATTCTGTCCAAATCTTCTTGCCACTGTGGGAAGCCAGTTATCTATTTAAACTGAAGTAACGCTTCAGTAGAGAATTGAATTGCTTCATTATGCTGCTTTTGTAACTGTAGGTGGTAGAAATGACAGAGAGAGAAGCGAAAACAAACAGCTTCAAGTGAGGCATTTGAAAGACCCAGCAGAGATTGAAAAACATCATACCGGGAGTGTGAAGAAAGAACAAAGTCATGCAGAAGAGGAATCTAAAAACTACATGAAAGGAAGTGATGAGGAGAAACTTGCTCACGAGGAAGGTAAAAGCAAGGAAGAGGAGGATGGACACCACACACCTATTCAAGAAGAGAGACTTCATACAGAAGAAAAGAAACACTATCAGGGAATTAGAAGAGAAGAGGAGAAGAGCTACCACAGTGAAGAAGAAAGCAAAGAGAGCAAGCATCATGACGAAGAGGTAGAGCATGCTGTTCTCAACAAGAAGTCCCACTCTGGAGGTGCAAGCACAGAGGAGTTCCGTGATGGGAATGATCAGCGCCCCATGGGCCACTGGCATTCAGAGGAGGGAATGCAGAGCCCTTACAAAAGAATTCATGAAGGTGAAGAGGAAGAGGCAGAGGAAGAAAGAAGTGAAAAATACCACCGTGAGTCTAAGGAACGTGATTTCTCCCATCAGCAAGAGCATGAAGAATCTGATGAGAGTGAAGAAACAGAGGAGGAAAAGCAACCCTATAAACCCAAACGTTATCATGGGAAGCATAGAATGGGTGACTCCTCTGAAGAGAAGAGGGGCCGTGGTGGTGAGAAAGAGGAACTAGCTGTGGAATCAAACACAGAGGAGGCCCATCTCTGGGACAAAAGGAATCACCATCAGAAACATCATGAAAAGTCTGAGCAGCAGCGTGAGGAGAAGAGTGGTTATCATGGGAGGCATGGGTCTGAAGAGGTAGAGGAGAAGAGGCGTGCAGACCAGGGAAGTGAGGAGTACAGAGAAGGGTGGCAGCAGAGTGAAGAGAGCAGTGAAGAAGAAAACAAGAGGCATCGCCACAGTGAAGAAAGTAATGAGAAATGGCGCGAGGATAGGAGACACCATGATGGATCACATGAGGCAAGGAGGCACCATTCTGAGGGAAGGACGTATCTTGGAAATGAAAGTGAGGAAGAGCTGGACAGGTATCTCAGTGGTGGCAGCAAGGAGAAGCAGCATCGTGCTGGAGGGAGATACCGCTTGTGGGACAATGAAGATGAAGAGTCACAGAAAGTGTACGCTCGAGAGCACAAAGGGCAGTCCAGAAGACACTACAGCACTGAGGATAGTGTAGAGCAGCAGAGCTACCCTGGCAACAGTGAGGAGGAGGAGGAAGTAGAAAAGAAGCATCACAGCAGTGATCAGATGGAAAATGAGGAGGAGAATATGGAGGAGGGAAGATATGCAGAGAGGGAAGAGTACAGAAGCCGTTTCCCTGCAGAGAATGAGAAGAGAACCACGGCATCCTACAGCCCTTTCTACCCACTGCTGTGGTGGAAAAGCCAGCACTTTGAGAAAAGGGACAGTGCAGGAGAGCAGCTTCTGGAGGGCAAAGAGGAAGGCAGGCCCACCCTGAACGAGAGGAGTCTTTTCCCTGAATATAATGACTATGATTGGTGGGAAAAAAAGCAAATCCTAAGTGCTCTGAACCACGGACGCACCGAGAAGAGGAATCTTGGCAAAATGAACAGATATGATACGAAAAGGCAATACAACAAGATGGATCAACTCGCACAACTTCTGAATTACAGGAAGAAATCAGCTGAATTCGCAGAGTTGTACAATTCTGGAGAAGACATGAAAAAACATCACATAATCAGGAATGACAGAGGAAGTCTGGGCCAGCGGCCTCTGACAGAAGAGGAGGTATGTGTGCAGGTGTTTCTCTGAAAAGCTAGGGGAAGCTGACTTTACATGCACATTTCTAAATCCATTCCCAAGGCAGCTGGTAAACTGTGCGTGGAAAAACACAACCAAGATTAAGTCACATTGAGAGCCAGATCTTCAGTGATTTAAAAATCTGCTTTCTTTGAATGAATTCAGTGGAACTACCCCAGGGCACAGTTTGTGAAATAAAGGCAATCTGCACCCTCATTAGCTTCTGTCTGCTGCAAGACAGGAAGAGAAAGGAGACTTTCTTCCTTTTTGGGCCCTATCTCTCCCTCTAGGGTCTTACAGAATAATAAAACAAAGATGCCCATTGCAGCAGGAGCAGACAGGTAATTAGCAAGCACCACTTGGTCTGTTGGGTTGTTTAAAATGTACATCTGAAAAGCAAGTTGGACATTTAGAGTGAAATTCAGCTGTTCATTGACTTCCCGGCTGTAATTGCAGAGCAGAACCTGGCTTGACTTGTAAGCCGGATTCATGCATGTAGTTCCCATGTATGTGAACCCTTTTCTTGTTGGACTTCCTGTTCTGCTTTGGTGTCCAGGAAAACTGAGTCTATACGCATCAGCTAGATGCTCCTCATGTATGTCACTGTATCTACTGCACAAAGCTGAGCTGGGAGCAGTGGAGGTTTAATACTAATTTACATAGAGGCGGCATTAGCAAGTTATCATAATAAACAAGAATTGGCTGCGGTTTTTTTCCCCTAGCATCTGGTAATGTGGAGGTGTTGCTCTTGTTGCACGCTGTGCTTGCTGGGTGTCATAAGCCTGAACCACTGCGATCGTAAGGTTGTAGCCTCCTAAGGGACCTTCACTTGGGCTGAAGTGACTGCACGCCGCAGGGGGTGGCAGCTGTGAGATAGCAGGTCACTACTAGATAATGGTGCTTTAAAGCTAAAAAGATCAAGCTATAATTAGGGCCAGCTCTCAGAATGAGTATTTTGATACTTTCCCCAGCCCTAATTTGGTTAAAAGCAGGAAATTGCACAAATCTCCAAAGTATGTGCTGCACTGCTGTTAACAACCCCCACCCCAGCACGTTTCCTAGGGACCGGTAAAGTAGCAGGAGATGTCTGCCTCAGAAATGGTCTTTGTCTCTCATTTTCATGGAAGAAAACATTTGCCAACGTTATTTGATGTGTAAAACGCTCTTCATGTTTTCACAGGAGAAAGAACTGGAAAACCTGGCCGCTATGGATTTGGAGCTGCAGAAAATAGCTGAGAAGTTTAATGACAACAGGAGAGGCTGAAGATGATCTGCTTTGGTGTTTCAAAGCTAGGTGTAGCTGTACTCACAATACCTGTATTTTGTGGTAAATTTCACTGCCACTGGATTGTTGTTTGCCCTAAAACGAGGAAATACTATTTACTGTCCACTATAGTGTAGTGATTTATACAGCTGAAAATGTCTTTAATTTGCTGTTATGCTATTGAGATCTGAATAGCATGAATTTTAGTATTATAACCTTTCATGCAAGGCAGATATTTTTAATATGCTTGTGAAAATAATTATGTTAGTGTTCTTCAGAAATATATTTGTCTGAGTTTGAAATAATAAAAACCATTGATCTTGGACCAAACTTTCTCCTTGCTTATTTGACTGATTGGGTTATTTCAAAGTCAGCTGTATCAGATGGATAGATCATGTACAAAATGTTGACTTGTGGTTCACCAATATTTTTTTTTTTTAAGTTACAAGGAGCCTATCTGTGCCTTTTATTTACCAGTTAGCAAGAGCACAAGAGGTGAGAAAGAATCCCGATTAATTTGCTCCAGTAACTCAGAAATGTCCTGTGAATTATTTAGTTCTGGAAATCAGTCATTAAAGAAGCAAAGAGGTTGCAACACCAAATGGATGCTTGTTAATTTGGAAGGCACGTGGTGCTTCAGGATGAATGCATTATGTAGTGGATTGGTTTTGCCACTCGTTCAGTCTAAGTGGTCCCGTATTTTAATCACCTACCGAACATGCTTTGCTAACGTGTTCTTTCCACCTACTTCAGGCAAGCAGGTCCTGGTGGGATTGTGCTGCATTGGAGCAGGGCTGGTGTTGCACAAGGCGAATTCCGTAGCAGCCAGCGAGCCGGGGGCAGGATGGGCTCTGTGTAATAAGCTGTACGGTGTCCTAGGGAGAATGAGTGAGTGTGTGGAAGGAGCCATTTGGTAATCTTACGACGCTATAAAGCAGTAAAGGAAATGATCCCATAATTAGTTTCAATTACTCCAAATATCTGGCGTTCAATTTAATTTCATGTATCCAAACGTGTTGTTTTACAGACTTCCTGCTGTGACAGTGTCTTCAGTTGCTTGTATAACACCACACACAGGAGAGAGGTGCTATGCAAAGAATTCAGCTGTCACATTATCAGTAAATGTGCAACATCTATCATCCCAGCTTAACCCATTTAATCCACCTGCTCATTAAAACACACAGTCTCTGATTAAGGCAATACGAACTGAAAATATTCAGTGAGCTACTGATCCTTGAACTGTGTGAGCGTGTCTATGCCTAGGGATTTTGGTAAGACCACTCAAATGTTTCATCTTGTTTGGTTAAGTTATATGAAGCTTGAATCCTGGCTCAAAGAAGTTGACAGAATTTTGACTTCAGTAGGACCATGGTTTCACCAGACTTTTCCAGCAACAGTAAGGAAAGTTAGAAAGTGTCCCAGCTGCAGAAATACTTTTTGTTTGCTGTCTTCAAATTCTGAGACTCTCCCTTTAAAAATTTGCAGTACCGTACAGTAAGTATTGCAGCATGGTACTTTTTTCCCCCCAGCTAGTATGAGAAAAAGTGGCCTGTGAGTATGTAAATACCTAGAAGCAAATAGCTTTAGTTGTAGCACAGAAAACTTTCTAAATTGTTCAAGTATGTAACTTTAGCAATGATTTTTTTTTTTAAAGCTCAGCTTATGCAAATATACATTCATGAGTCAGCAATATTTTGCTTAAAAACATGTCCCTTGAAAGACTTTAAAACCAAATATCATTCAGTGGCTTCCAAGAGCTTCGTGACAGCCCTTTTATCTGTCGTCTTTCTCTTTTCTGCTTGCGTTGCTCTGCGGGGCTGATGCCACAAGCACTGAGAGTCGAGTCGCTGTTCCATTTTTATCTACACATTTGCATTGCCTGTTCAGGATTTTTTGATGGGTAACACTGGATCTTCTTTTAAACAGCCAGTACAATTTACATTAATTTGCATTATTTAAAGGCAATGCCTGCTTTTGGCATTGAAGCTAGGTGGTACAATTTAAAACAAGTATTGATGTATAAGATGCATAACCTTGTTCCAGGAAATCAAATGAAGCCGAAATAGTGGTTTTGGCTTCTGAAAAAGTGTTGTCTCACTTCTGGCTCATGCATCCCTGGTTAATGGTAAATTTGATGTGTGTGGTTCTAGTAAAACACAAGAATGGAAAGCTTAGTAACTACTTATTTCTCCTAATCTGCTCCTATTATCAGCAAGTTTGCATAGTGAAAGCAGTTGTATGCTCTGCTCCGTGACTAAAGATAGGAATAAAAACAGCTCCCAAGTCTCTTTTTAAGTTCAGCGATACCTTTACTAGACCAGGCCCTGACCCTGCCAAACGTCCCCAGTGTATTACAGAAGCTGAGGCTTGAGAATTTGTTGGCTGTTGAGCTTGGGCGCTGCCAACCTCTAGAGGAAGGCTGAAGTTCCTCTGAGGTGTTAACAGCACCTGGATCTCATTTGCCACCCTCACTGTGCAGATTTCAAGTTTGGATGAGTACTTCAGGAGACAGAAACATGGGCAGACACACACAACGCACTCATTTCCAGACTGCAAAATAACTGCTCTTTTCTGACGGAAGTGGCCCGTTTCAAGCTGTAGGCGAGTTTTTAAAAAGTATCATTTGAAGGCAGCCAGCCACAGTTGGGCGAAGCTGCTTGTAACCGCGGCTGAAATAGATAGGCCTGACTAGTGCTTGTGCTGTAACGTAAGACGCCATCCCAGCGATGGCCCCTCATACAGCAAATGAGCCCAGGCGGTGGAAGTTGGCTTTTCAGCCTGCCTGTCCAAACCAAGTCCTCTGCCTCTTCAAAAGGGTGGCTTCTGCCCAACTCAGTGGTCTAAATGTTAATCCTGCCTTAAGGAACCCGTCTCTGGTTTAATACCCACTACCTTTCCCCATTCCTTATCTACACATCATTGGCCAAAATTAACTTCTGCCAATTTGTTACATTTTATACCTCCGAAGAGAAAAGTTCTTGGACATTCTGCCTCTCTCCAGCGATGATCAGGTTCCTGAGCGATGCTGTACGGAGACTAAATACAGGTATGCAAGTACCGCCTTCCTTTTCCTCACACCCCCCCCCCTTTTGTCTTGTCTCTTAGAGATGCTTTTCATTACAGCAGTTATTTTCAACTTATGTTAAGATCTTACAGGATGCACTCTCCATTTGTTCTGGATTTTCCCTAATTGGTTACTTGAGAAAAACAAAAAGGCTCCCTAGAGTTTCAATCACAACTTGCATTTCAACAATGCTTCTCGCATGATAGGCTTTAGTTTCATTTATTCATGTGCTTCAGTTAAAATAGGAACAATGTTAAATCAAGATGTGCTCTTCTACTATTACATATAGAACATGTTCCATCAATTTGAAACATCAATAATTTTAAATATTTTACATGAATTATTTCTTGGTTTCTTACTATCTTTCTTTGGTACAAGCATTATGGCACATCTGAAAAATGGGGGGCTGGATTCAGCATATGGGGAGCGTGTTAGTGTTAATGCTGGAGAAATGAAGTCAGGTTGGCTTTGATCTAAAGTAATTTTTCAGATGTTCCAATATTGTTTATTTCTCAAAACTGATCTTTTTATTATACAAATAAACCAGATTTTTTTCCTCAGGTTATTATTTTTAGCACATTATATATGATAGGAATTTAAAACCTATGTTGGTTGCTTAACCGAACTTTTACTGTTTTAAGTTTTTACACCTTTATAGTGCTGTAAATACGACAGCCAAGTACCTACCAGCTCAATGAAAGTGGCAGAGAAGTACCTATGCCTGCTTTACAGGTAAGAAAACTGAGGCAAAAGATAATTTTTTCAGTATTAATCTCCTGGCTTACACTGATGTCATCATTTTTGTGCCTTTCCCTAGCTTCCACGCTCCTATCCATTGCTCTAAGCTAGGCTGCCTCAGAACTTCATCGCATGCTGGGCACTGGCTGCTTTGAGAGTCCCGGTTTACCTTCAGTACGCATGCGTGGACTTACAGTAGAGGAAAACTTCTCTTCCCCGCCCCTGTTTTCCCACTAATTCTTGAAAGAAGTTGAGAAATTCCGAATTTTAAAAAAACTTAGTAAAAGCCACACATCACATTTCTATTCCCTACATCTGATTTGCAACACTTGCACTGTACGGAGAGGTGAGAGGGGCAAAGCACATTTTTCAGATCCACATGCTTGGTGGAATGCAGAGGAGATGGTGAAACCTACAACCTCTCCATTTATGGGCTTTTCACGTAAGTAAGAGAAGAAGAACTTTCCATAAAACTAGAAAAAAAGAAGATGGGACATTTACAAAAAACAGAGCAGAGGTAGACAAAACCCGGAAGATATACTGTACCTGTTCACCTAAGAGAAATCTTTAACCACTTCTTTACACAAAATATAACCCCCATTTTGTTTTATTTTGTTTTGAGCAAATGGTGTCCTGCAAGAGCATCACTCATCAATATACAGACATTTACAGCTTTATGAAGTCTGATTACTTAATCCCAAAGCTCCAGATTCCCACTGATGAGTAAGTTCAAGAATGGAAGCCAAGTCCTGCCGGCTCTACGGGCTCCCCACTGGGGGTTCAATGGGGTGCAGCCATATTGTCCTCCTGAAGCCTCTGCTAGACCTTTTGATTTCCCAAAAGAGGGGAAAGTAAGAAAAAGGAAATAAACCTCATTAGGAAAAACATCCCGCAGTTTAATTGAAATGGCAAATGCAAAGTTAAAAAATAAAAAAATAAAAAAAGCTACGCATCATGAAAGATAAAACAGTAGAATAAATATATATACATACAGTGGTTTTCAAAATAGTCGTATCTTAAAATAAAAACATACAACAACTCTCAGGAAAACAACAGGCAATACTAATAGAGACATTCTGTTTAAATATTTGGTATTTTAATTTACGAACTATGTTTCTCTTCTGCATTTATTTCAGGAAAACTTGGGGGACATGCTGTAAAGTTCTGGTATTAGTATTCTCTTTTTATTGTTCCTTTGGAAGGAAAAGTGTATGATTTTTGCTGTTCGTTCTACTTCCTCAAATCACTGAACGCAGCTGGGTTCTGTGTCCAAAGAGGGAGCAGATCACTGTGTAGAACGTTCTACCCCGATGCTGTTCTGGGAAAATGGGAAGCTAAGCTAGATGTGTTGATTCGGACTCAGCCTTTTAAAAAACTACGTCATCGTATCCACTTTTGGCAACAGAGAGAGAGAATGCCTTCACTGATGCTTGATCTTCTCTTCTGTTCGAAGTTAGTGCGTTTTCAGTGGGATGTTTCGCTTCCAAGGATTTTTCTTCTCATTCTGATCATGTAAACTGGCA